TAGAGCCTCCTTTATTATCAAATAGCAGTTGTTTACGGTGATATCAACCTGCTTTTATGCTTGGTGCCGGCAAAAACAAATCATCAAATAAGTCTATATTTTTCTGATGGTAAATATCTTTAATTCAAGCAATATTCTATTTTTTTCAGTAGCAATTTACAGAACTTAGCGACTTTTACTTTTGTATTTTTTCTCAGATTTTACAAGCCAGTTTTACAGGCAGCACAGATTGGTACAATGCAAAACTGGATAAAATACATGTTATCATGCTTCGCTAGTAATGAATCCGGACTAATCGCGGGATACTCATCGCTATAGCTCTTACTTTTCTCATAACATAAGAGCTTCGCTTAAACAGTGCAAAAAGTTCGAATATGGTTTGAAAAAAGGCTCGTATCATAACAAAGCAATTCTTGTCTAACATGAGGTAATGGAGTCAATATGATCTTCGACAGAAACCTATGTCATCGAAAAAAGCACATTTGGGAAATCAAAATCGAAACGGAGCTTTGCGTCACGAGCAATACATCACAGCCATAGAATGCCGTGCTGATCAAAAAAACAGGTGAAAAATTGATGAAAAAACTAACTCCACTGAAATTTGTTATCATGATTTATATCAACTGACTTTTTTTTAGAAAAGCATATTGGAAGCTTCACCCGAGATTATAAGTAACTAAGAAAACGATAAATAAGCCGACAGTATTTAGTCAGACGTTGCTCCGGGAAAAACTGTCTCGAGAACCTGAGCAAGTAAAAATTGAAAGTCGAAGTCCCCTCACCATAATTTATTTTTGGCCCAACACAGGACAATACGAGGTTACTACGCCCACTTTACATACATCAAAAACTTTGAAAAACTGGTCTACCCAATTGCAATACACTTGCTCTCGTAAAAGTAAATATCATTAATAGGGTTGTTAGTTGCAAATTTTGTTAAGTTGTTTGTTCAAACTTTTTCAGTTCAAATTTGAAAAAAAATCATGAAATTTTCTGAAGAAAAAATTTTCTGAACAATTGCAACCCGAGAGAGTACTCTGACAGCCCCAAATTACAGGGCTAGCACTTTCAAATTTTGAAAAAAAAATTAATTTAAGTTTTTCAAATTTTTTTTTGAAAGATTCACAAAACTTCATATCTGGAAAATACAATGATTTGAGCAGTCATATTTGGAGTCAAGATTTGCAACCCGTAAGAGTACTCTGACAGACCCCAACTACAGGGTTAGGAATTTCAAATTTTGAAGAAATCAAACTAAATTTAAGTTTTCTGAAAATTTTTTTGAAAAAATCACGAAAACGTAATATCTCGCAAATTACAAGAATTTAAGCAGTCATCATTGGAGGCAAATGTCACGATCCTGGGAATTCCGTGATAGAGACTCTTTATAGAGATAGGAACTTCGAGTTTTGTGAAAATTTTATATCTAAGTTCTTTGAACAATTTGAAACAAAAACAAACGTCTCATCTCGTTAACTGAGAGCATTTGAGCACTCTTTTTGCATTTGCACGCAGCATTTGCAACTCGGAACTCCTAAGGGTACACTCACAGTATCCAACTACATTAATGGGATGTTCAAATCTTTTAATTTTTTAAAATTTAAGTTTTTTTAAAAAATCAAAAAAATCATAAAACGAGTCATATACCGAAAACTAGAGATTTGAGCAGTCATATTTGGAGACAAGATTCGCCGTCCATGAGAGTATCCTGACAGCACCCAACTACACAGTTGAGAATTTCAATTTTTCAAGAAGTAATTTGCGATGAATTTAAGAAAAATCACAGAAATCGTCGTATCTCGTACAATAAAAGGATTTAGGCATTCATAATTGGAGGCCAAATTTGCAGCCCCTGGCGGAACCCTGACAGCATCACACTGTTGTGCTGCTTATTTTAAACTCGGTGCAACAAACACTGAATTCAACCTGGAAAACCGAAAAAAAAATCTTAACCATTGCAATATACGATATAGCTTATACGTGAACATCTTCTTTCGTCAAACATGCAAAACTAATACGTTGAAAAATCTTAAACGTGACGAGTAAAGAAGCCTGTGAACTGTAGTTAAAGTAATGCAAAATTGTTGAAATATTGGTGACGTTGAGCAATTTAATCGTTGAATACAGTGCTGATAAGTAAAACTTGCTTTAAAACGGTTTTTACAGGCTAAAATGTTCAAAACCATTAGCTTCAGCCATCCAAATGATCAGTTTCAGGTTTAAAAGACACTGGCTCTTTCAAGTTAAAGTACTTTCCGTCAGATTTGTTGACCGGAAAAAAATATTGCTAAGAATTTGGCATTACCTCTATTAAATCGCATTTTGACGCACGACTTTTGATGACTCTAATTTACAATAGTTGGTGCTTTTCAGTCCAACAATATAATGTAAAAATGAGAAACTAGACAAATTTAACCAAGAGCAATCATTACATATTCCGGTGATTTTCGAATGGCATAACACCTACACAAAGGCGAAGTAGAGCTTCACAACACTCCGATAGAGCTTCACCGATACATCTCTCACACAGTCATGCAAGCTAGTGGGCAAAAATGAAACGAAAGCCTCTGCGTCAAAAAAAAAATAATAAAAAATGTCAAACATCTCTAAATACGTGTCGAGAATGATGTAAAATGTCCAGACGCCCGTTGAGCCGGAAAAATTGTCCTTGAAAAAAAATTAATACATCACGTTTTTAGATTTCAAGTTACGACGTCTGCTATGGCACAAATTTTCCCTAAAACGACCTATTATGAATCAAACTAACGAGATAAAAAAACATACGCCGCAACCATTAAAGCCCCCAAACTTTTTGAGCAAAAAAAAAACAAAATTAAAACTGAAATTGGAAAAGAAATTTAAAACTGAACTGTCTGTATCTTTACAAATTTTAGTTACGGCACTTCAAAACCAGAAAAATAAAGAGTCGGAAATCAGAAAAATAAAGAACATTTTTGAAACTAGAAGTCATTCACGTTTTTCGTGAACTTTACACTTTTGCTGATCGATAGTGGAATTGAAACAACGTGAATGAAGTGAACCAAAAAAGATATTCCAATTAAAACCGCAAAAAATTAAGTTTGAGCGTGAACAGTTTAAGAATTTTTAAGAAAAAATACAAATCATCAAAACCTTTAAAAAGGAAAATCACTTTGTTCTTTTCCACTTTAGATTAAAATTCATAGATCCAATAAATGCTCAAAACTGATGAAAAAGCATTAAATTTGTCTGAAAGTCTGTTAACCTGAGTATCAAAAAAAACTTGTCTTTAACTGTCATGGAATTATCAAAAGTATGAACTCACTGGCATTACTTAGGAACTACCTTTAAAAACTTTTTGTCTGACTGTTATGAGACCATTGGTAGTTTTAAGGCAGCAAACTTCTAAATGACGTTTTAGAGGAGAAAATACTTCCAGACAAGTTCTAGTTATAATTCGGGCCACACAAACTCGATTCAGTTCTTTCTCATATCCAGTAGAAAAAATCATATCAGAAAAAAATCGGTAACAACGAGATGCGAAAATTCATAATTTTACCAAAACGTTTCTTAAAATCTTGCATCCAAACAACCTGCATGTTCGATACCACTACTGGGGGATAGGAGAAGGACCTATTCTTCTCTTTCTATAAATTTAGATCAAAATGAAATACCAATAATGAAAAAATTTCAAATGCAAAAAAAAATTGAATACAGAAATTTCAAACATAGCCACAAAAAGAAATCGCAGAAAACCTTTAGAATCTCTGAGATCCTAAAAGTGAGAGGGCTGAATCAAAATTACAATAGAAAGACGCCCGTTAAGAATAAAACACGAAAAATCATTTTTCCCTAAATTACAGCCAGAGAGAACCTTTTTCTTGAATCTCGTGCAACACTTGCGGCTATCCTTCCAACAACAAAAAATTAAGTCGACATTGCGAAAAACTATCACATTTTTATGGCAATTTGAATTTTTTTCAAAAATTTTAAGGCATTCAACACAAATACAAAGCTGCGCTTTGCAAACACTTGCGAAAACACGACCAAAACGCAGCTCTATCAAGTGAAATTAAAAAAAGAGAAAAAAGCCTCGAATTGACACTAACTCGGCTACGTGTAGGATTCGAATCTGCGACCTACTTCAATCAAAAGATATTGAGTCTCACGCACTATCCAATCCGCCACGCAAGCTAAACAAACCGACTAACACTAGTCACGAACAAAACAGCTACATATGCTAATAACTTGCCAATGCTATTCAGCAAAAGTGGCACCAAATACAAATAGATTCAAATTTGCGTGTAATAATTTGGAATATAACAAACTGAAGCCATCCACACTAACTTTGCATTTAACCAATCGCAAAGCATAAAGCCACATTATACACAAATTATGCATTTCAGAAAACTGCGAGATAAATTGAGTTAGAAAATTTCTGAAATCGAGTTTTCATTATTGTTGAGTTGTTTGAAACTAATCGCTTTTTTGGTTCATTTGATGAATTTAAAATGCATCAACTGTGTTAGCTTATTACTATTCGAATTTCAAAGGACATGCTATCAAAAAGCTGTAAAGGCGCCCCACCATTGTTGGGATACCGCACCAAAAAGGTGCCGCACCAATATTTGCAACTTAGGTTAGAAAAAAAAGGTTCGTACTAAAACACTCGCTTCGCAAGTGTAAACAATGCAAAGTTGGCATCACATTGAATCGATTTCAAAAGAAAACGCTCAACCTGAAACACACCAATACTAAAACTATTTACGCGCAATTTTCGAACAAAAATAAACAAAATCAAAAACCATGCATCCGAAAAAAAAATAATGCAAAAAAGTTTCTATGAGAAAATTTGTCTGTTTTTCTAACGGAAAATTTTTGTGTGAATAAAGAACCAGAAAAACGTTTCCCAAAAACGGCATTTTGACCATAACCTGTTTTTTTTTAGAAAATAGCCTGCGGCGCAAAAAAAACTGTCAAAATATGGTCTATATAATATTCAGGGAGCGCTCGGAAAATCAATTTGTTCGACCTAAAAAAAAGGTCGACAAAACTTTCGATATTTTTTTTGAAAATCCGTCCCCTTCGAGGAAACCGATCCGCCCCTGCTCTAGACTCATCAGAACTAAAGACTTTAAACAGGCAACTTAAAATTATAGCTCATGTGAACAAAGTTTATCGCTAGGGTAAAAACATTTAAATTAAGAATACTCCCATTTCGATTTCAGACTTTCTAACAATCGATTTACATAGGGTCTGCTAAATATTTAATACAAAGTTTGTTGCTATGCTAGTTTCTAAAACGCCAAAACTTTTTCTATTGCTTCAATCACTTTCCATTTTGTAGGCATATAGAACGGCTCAAACACATGTGGAAACGGAGTATCTAGTCCGCAAACACGTTCAATGGGCGCTTCTAAGTTAAGAAAACAGTTTGTTTGAATTGTTGCTGCAATTTCAGCTCCAAAGCCTCCTGTTAATTGAGCTTCATGACTCACAAGAGCTCTGCCAGTTTTTGAAACTGAGTCACAGATTGTATCCACGTCCCAGGGCACAATAGTCTGCAGGTCAATCACTTCGCATTCAGTTCCGTCTTTGGCAAACAGCGCCTCAGCAACATCCATGAGAACGTGAACTTGAGTGCCCCATCCTATGAGAGTAATATCCTTACCAGGGCGAACTATTTCTGCCTGGCCAATTGGAAGTTCATAGTCCTCTTCCGGAACAATATCTTCGGCAGTTCTGTACAAAATCTTGGGTTCAAAAAACAAACAGGGATCTGGAGTGTTAATGCAAGCTCGTAAAAGACCTTTGGCTTGGTACGCTCCCCTCGGAATTACAATTTTTAATCCGCTGCAATGAGCGAAAAACGCTTCTACTGATTGCGAATGATAAACTGCACCATGACCAACTGCTGAGCAAGGCGCTCTAATCGTCAGACCTCCACAGTTAAATAGATTCCCTGATCGGTAGCGATATTTCGCAGCTTCGTTGACCAATTGATCAAAGGCAGGGAAAATGTAATCCGCAAACTGTATTTCAGCTACAGCAGTCAAACCACCGACTGCCGCTCCAATGCCGAATCCAGCAATCCCTTGTTCACAAATGGGAGCATTGAAAACTCTACTTTCCCCATATTTATCGCGCAAGCCCATTGAGCATCTGAACACACCTCCGAACGCCACATCTTCACCAAACAAAATAGCACTGGGATCCTTTTGAAGTGTTATGTCTAATGCTTGAACTATGGCTTGGAACATGTTTAATTTCGGATGATTGATATTTGCAGAACTTTGTACCTGAGTTGTGTTAAGGGTAGTTGGGTGATAGGTAAAATGGGCAGCAGAACGAGTGCCGACTATCCTGAAGGCCGCAGTGGCTTTCATATTCTCCTGAAATCAATTTAAAGCAAGGATAACCGGTTACTTAGCAAGTAGCACAGAATGTCTTAAAAACCATAGTCCCCATAGCCCCATAGTCTTAACAAAAAAATGTTACTTTCAAATTAGTGTCGTTATTTTCGGCGTCGTATGATAAAAAGAGCTGAACGAAAAACTAGAGATTAGGCATATTCGACGGTCATAGTAAAATAAGCAACTTGAAAACAATTTTTGTAGAAAATGAAAAACAAAAAAAAACATATTTCAAAAATTTAGTATTTTTTTGCAGTTTGAATATTTGATTCCGAAAATGCGCTAAAATACTAAAAAAAACTAACGTTATAACTTAAAAGGCAATAATTTCAAACCATTTGAGGGAGCAAACAAAGCACCTTTTGAATCATAAGATTATTTGTTTACATGTAAACGCAATTAAAAACGCATGTTAATTTTCCCACAATTTATACATTTACCCAATTTGTAATAACTAAATCATCATTAATTCAATTTTTATGATACAATCGCTTTCCAGCAATTGCGAAATAATCAATCTGGTACGCCTTATAACCTTAGAAAACTAAGCACACTGGCTGAGCCCATTCTAGAAAGCCAAACTCCGTCAGCAATGGAGATGCTTAAAAGAGCTCAAACAAATTGTTATAAAATGTAAAATTCTGAAACCCTACGGCGTTGAGCCAAATCTCAATTAGTCTCTCCTACATGGAGAAGTAATTTCAATTTTTTTCCCTTTTTTTAGAGGAAAAATCTTTTATATTTTACCATGTTAGAATTGAAATGGTCTACATTGTAGCGGCTAGCTCCCTCTACCACAGCATGGAACAACTGAGCGACCCGGAAAAAGAACAATTTCTACCCGAAATATTGTCTAATCCCGGACTTTTTTTAAACCCGAACACCACGAACCCACAGAAGAACCTCGCAAGCCTAATCTGCAGGTCATCTCTAGCAGAAAAACGTCAAGTGATGGTGTGGCACGACATCATCAATAATTCTATCAACAACCACAGCACAAACAATTACAGAGCTTGCTGAAGAAATCCTGAAGAAACTGAAAATTATCGGCGCAATTGTATACTGTCATTCCTATTACGAGGTGTCTCATTTCAAAGAGGAAGAGAAGAACGGAGCTGGTCAACGAATATCAGGCACTGCACCAGGACGTCGAGCTGGAGCTAAAGTCTCCGCGGATTGTGTTCGAACACCAAGACAACCTGCCAGCTGTTTTGTCCGAGCTTCGTTCAAACACGAAAAAGAAATCTCAATCGAGAAGGAGGGCGGAGAAAAGAAGACTGATCAACAGAGGCGAGGAAACTGTTGGTCCGACTGACGGGGAGGCTTCAGCGGAAAGGGTGAGTTACAGTTGTGTTAACTGTGTTGCTTTGTGTCACGTGAGGTTTATTCCTCGTGGCCTGCAAACCTATGAGCACAGTTGTACTCCCACCTCATATCTTGATTCGGACTTTTAAGAACAAACTCATTTGGAAATTAGTCCGTGATTATGCGTCCATTTATGTTAAACTTATCAACTGTAACCAACGTGTTAAATTTGTGAGAGTTTGTCCAAAAAACGACATTATACCTGATTTATTGAGGTTCAAGTTACCGGAAAATGGGATGTTTTCGAACCGAGCGTTACACAGTTTTCAGACAAAATTTCTAAGACCGGAGATTAACAAGGCAAGGACAGATCAGAAAAACGTTGAAGTCAAACTAGAAAGGACGAGAGGCGCAGTACAGAGGGGTGTAGATGAGAAGTGCTGGCCTTCGATATTGAAATACTTAAGTCTTAGGGGACAAAGAGACAAATAACAACAATCAAAGAGACCCATCAGAAGAAGCTAATGAACTATCAGAAAGGCAAGACCGACCTCTAGGGAAGCAAGGTGATGTAACATTCGTCTGATGCAGTCACACATGAGGCTTAAGAAAAATAGGCCCTATAACTATTGGCTCAAGAGTCAGGGACACTATCTCTTGTGTTTTTCTACCTCAAGAACGGTCGGAGCCAATTCGGTTCGCTTATGACATGAGACCACGACCCGCTACAGCTTAAAGGCCACTACCAAAATACCCCCCACTCTAGAAATAAAAACGTCCCCATACTTAGGTCTCGAAATACCCAAAATACATGAACGCCGTTAAAAACCGGGTCGGAACAATCCGCTTAGTTACTTTTTATTGGACAGTGGAACTTTGATCCATTTCAGATGGATCAACCTAAAACTCGCCTTATCTCAACATAACTATCATAAAATACACTCGAGAAATTTAAATTGAGAACTCACATGTCGATGCGCTTGAGTATGAGGAGTAATTAAAAGATGAGCAGCTCGAGAATCAAATAATATAACTAAATAAGTTTGATGCTAATTAGTTTTAACAACAGAAGTAAGTTCTGTCTCAAGAATCAAAGTTTCTGTATGAACCATCGGGACACTCGAGTTGTCCTCTCTTCCACTGAATGTTCACTCTGTTCCGTTCGAATAATCGTCCTTTCTCAAGTCTGTGTTATATTCTCCTGTTTTCGGGATAAGACAGCTCTACTCTCTTATTATTTCGTATCGAGAAATTGCGAATAGCAATTTCCTGCCCTTTTCTTGAGTAGTTTCCCGCAATTGTCAATTCGGACGTTCTGATTTTTCACTTTTTGTTTTCAGTTGGTTCGAGAAAACTGAGCATGACAGGCTCCATTCGAAATTTTTAAAATTAAAACTTCACTCCAAAATTACGTGTTTCTCAAGGTCAAACCTCCAGACATGACCGACTGGCACATACTCCCCGGACTCGAGATCGATGTCCTCATCGCATGTTGTCATCTGCCAGTGAGTCCCAGAGAACCGAGTGTTGCTCAAGATACAGTGCCAGTGGTCATTTACAGAAGTTTGCATCGTAAGTTTATCTTAAGTTTATCTACCTTTCAAAATTCACAACCATATAAAATTTTCACACTATCGCTAAACAGCAATCAAAATCTGCACACACCTGCACCCATGAACCCCCGCTTTTTGAGCTGGTAATTTTAAAATTTCTTTTGTCCTATTCAGTCAGGAAATTGTCATGCATCATTTTGATTTATATAATAGATCTATCATATTAATAACAATATCTTATTCGTCTAAAATTTCTTTTTCGTGAACCCGGATTTCATCCGAGTTCACCCTCGAGCCCCCTCCCTCTCAAGACTCAAGACTCTAGAATTTTCCCTTCGAGCCACCGGCTCACCTCGTGTCCTTCGCCCTCGAGGTACCCAACACCGGTGTTCTCGACACTGTAATTTGTTCCAACAGTGCCTCTTCGTCATCGGAGCTGATCACAATCTCCTCCCAGGCCTTCAGCTGTTCATAGGATCGCATCCACTCCCTCTGCTCTTGCAACCTCTTCGATTGATTTGGTAAGCTCTTTACCTTCGACTCCCGGTTCAAACAGAAGGAATTGTGAAGACTCATGCTTATATTCTTCGCCAGGTCCTCCTCTAGTATCGATTCCCTCGCTCTAGAATTGTCTCTGGATACTCTGCCCACTCTTTTCCACCCCGTCGTGATCGCATTTCGATGGGTTAGCAGAGGTCTCTTGAAGGCATCTGGTCCTATCTCGGCTTGGAATTGTCGATATTCCTTTTGATGTTTCCTCATGTGGTCCTTTGTCACCAGATATAACCAGGATGTTAACGTCGCACGAAAACAAGGAAAGAATCTCAGGCGGCTCCATATATGTCTGATCTCCACTGGTATGGCGAATACCTTGCATGCGGTCTCGAACAACTCAAGTCTCCTGCTGTAATCTATCGCATGAATCGACTCAGCTGTTGGCGTTCTCGATTCTCTATACTTCGCTATGTTTTCTTCCATCCATCGTAGAGCCAGCATCGTGCTCACCACCAAGATGGTCACCTTTTGTCGATGCTCCGGTAGTCCCAACGACTTAATTTCTTCTATGTCCCAGATCAGACAAAGATTGGCGCGGTCTGGGTACCACACTGTCTGCGCCAGACAGTGGCATGGACAATCCCCATGCGTGAGGTCGATGCTTCTAAGATTGCGTTCTCCCGAGGCTTCTAGGAGAGGCTCAAGTTCCATCATTTTCTCGTGTATCACGTCGACTTCTTCCGAGCTTGGAGCACCTACTGCGGGTTTCCCCACCACGTTTTGCCTTCCATGATCACTTGTGTTTTCGCTCTCCAAGCCTAGGAGTTCTTCACCCCAGATTTCACTCAAGTCGTCTCTTTGTTCCTTCGGTACTGCTCCTCGGATCTTCCTCAACAGCTGGTGTGAATGATTAGACATCCGAGCTAGTCTCACGCACTTGGGCACTGAGAAGGTTTTGTCTATCAATACCCTCTGGCTGGACACCTCCACCATCGCCATGTGTAGTGGATAGTGGCTTCCACATAGGTTAGCCAACACTGACCCCACTAAGGATTTCGCATTTAGAGGCAATCCATAGGCTTCGCTCATGGGAAATCCCATCTCCGCCTCGAGTCCAATCTTCCAACTCTTGATGTGCTTCTGGTTCACTTGTAACACTCCGGGCCATGATTCCACGCTCAACGCGGTCACCAGGTGGTGTTCTGACTCTAGCCTCTCCAGTGACTGGAGACTACACATTCTTGAGAAAAATCACAAGGCTGTCGCTAGGTTCACGGTGCTACTCGCGTAACATTCAGCCACTATCTGTATCTCGCTCTTCTCCCTTTCGGTGATATCCTCAAACCAGGTGATGAGGTCCTCTTTCTGGAAAGACTGTATCCTGACGCATGATCGTCCATCACAAGTATGCTCGCCGTTGCCACATGTCGAATCAAGACAACTGCCCGGCTCCATCCTCTTCACCGACCCTGTTCCACTCGTCACCTCACTCGATTCTTTCATCTGAGGCAGGACCAGTCTATGTACTATACTCAAGGTCGCCAAATCCTCATCCTCTGTCGGTTCCAATCTCACTCGCTCAGTGACCCCCTCAATCAGGCTCGCATGGGGATGTGGACACCAGGAGGGTCTGAGTAATTTCCATACCACTCCCAGATTCGTGGTCAACACGCCATTCCCGTTGCCCATTTTTAGTTCCACTCTTTTACTTGAGCGTGGCACACTTATCACTTCCGGCGT